GCCGTCAATCGATTTTTTGGTACCAAGGACTTACACAATATGGATTGTATTTACACCACGTGTTGGAGGAAGTAATTTACTATATTCATGAACAGAAATTACCCATTTTTTTTTGTTACCGGGGCGCGGTAATAAGTGTTTTTCTGTCGAAAATTCGCCGTTTTCCGGCGCAGGTTTACGATACTTTATTCTCTTACATTCGTAAGGGCGAGAAAGTAAAAATTGTGAAAACGGAGTTTTATATAAAACAATTTCGTTAATACAAATATATGACAGGAAATAAAATTTAACAATGTGTTCTGTAAATATCATATTCTATCATATTTTCAGTGAAGTTATTAAACTTTGGGACAATTTTCAATAATGAATGCGACATTGAAGTCTATGAAGCTGAAGAGCTTTTTTTTAACATTAGTGCTATGGAGACGAGTGGTGTTGAAAGTCTGAGATCAATTGAATAATGATTCAGAGTTTCAAAGTAAAACGACGATTTTAACTATTAAGTGGTTTCAGAAGATACTTGAAATATATGAAACGTTTTTTCATGCTTTTTGTTTAAGAGAAAAACTTGCAATGAACTTCGGAAGTACATACCTTGCAATATAAACATTATTTTTCATAAACGTTACAAATAGGTCGAGTAGTTAGAGTTTAGGTCAAATCAAGCATTGCCGCTGACTGTACGGAATCTAACCGGAAGGTCGTGAGATTCCAGTCCGAAGGTGGGAAATTTTCGACATTAGCTATAGCTCTACTACACACACACACACACACACACACACACGCGCGCGCACACACACACACACACGCACACACACACACACACACACACACACACACAAAACTATCACTGCGCATGCCCGAAGGTGGCCTCCCTCACCAAACCTACCAATGTTGCTCCGCCTGCCTGCGCCCTTTGTCACAACATAGCTCTCTGTCTTTCTCTTGTGGGAGCGCGGTAATTCAACACTGCGAGTTTGGCGATAACAAACTGATGAGTGAGAAGAATCAGACGATAGGCCTCTTACGTGTTTCTACAGTAGGGGTTGTCCAAACGCTCAACAGAAAATAAATCGTGTCTTGAAAGAGGGCTTCGGTTTTCGGTCTCCAGTCCCAATACTAGTGGCTGGTGAGCAGTGACAGTCTGTTTTGTACAGTTAATGATCAAATAATCATTGAACATGGTCACATCTCTCTCCGTCTTCCATCATACTATACAATAGAACAATCCAATAGAACTTGTTTGGGGATTTATAAAAGAGCGCGTGGCAGAAGAAACAATCGGCACACCTTCAAAAGAAAGGAAAGGTTTTGCGAGAAGCGTGTGCACAACATGGTGCTGAATAATGGAATAAATGCTGCGAGCATGTTCAAGGAATAGAGGCGACATATAATTCAGACAATGTGATGGACCAACACGAGGATTTCGTCATTTCTTTGGACACTCCTGGCAGTGCGAGATAATGAGGGCAGTGATGACGAGTGACGGTCAGTGCGATCGCTGCGTCTCGCAGTTGCCCCTCCTTGTGGCCTACGCGCTTCCTTACCACCGAGAGGGGAAATTCAGTTATCGCAGGGTGGGGGAAACCTCCGAGGCTTCACCAAAGGTACG